GGGTCCCGGGCCGCGGGTGGCGGTCACGGCCTTCGCTCGTTCGGGTCCCCGCCGTCTCAGCGGGCCCTGCCACGGGTACCGGCCTCGGGGCGGAGTTTGCAACTCACTTGAAAGTTGCACGGAACTAGGCTCTGCCCAACCCCAGGGCTCCGGCGCTTGGCGCAGGCGCAGTGAGGCCCCGGAGGGGGGCGGGGCGAGGTCAAGGAAGCCAGAGGCCTGCCGACTTAAAGGGGCGATGCGCCTCCTACTCGTGGATAAGGCCCAGTAGGTGAGCGGCCGCCCTAATTGGAAAGATTAGGGGCCGGGAAACGGCAGCAAAAAAGGTGGGGAAGAGGAAACGAAGGAAACCTGGAGTCCAGAGTTCTCGCGGCTCTTCCCTGGCTTCCCCCTTTTGCCTTGTCTTTCCCTTCTGTAAAATGGGAAAAGGCATGGGATGGGTGCAGTACCCCACTTCCAGGCTCATGGACAAGTGGGAGGAGGCTTGGCTGAGCGCCAACAGATCCAGGTCTTGCAGCCCTGGGTCAGGAGATGCTTAAGCGCCCCGAAGACGCTGAGTTGACCTAGGGCGAAAGCAAGAAGAAGTAGGAGAGAGAATCTGAGGGACTCGTCACTGCGCCCCTGCCCTCTCCCCGGAGTCACCCTGAAGAATGGGTTTCAGGAGTTGACTTCTCTCTGGAATACCTCTCTAGAGCCCACCTATTTGGGTGGGCTGACCATGATGATTTGAGAGATTCCGGACAGAGCCCCCTGCCACCACTCCCCCACCCATGCCCTTTTCACCAGAAGTTTGAAGTTCTATTCCTGCGTGTCAAGAACACAAACATCCCTGAGAGCTGAATCATATCAACAATTGCCACTTTGTAGCTAATTTTTGTGTGCAAGGTCTTGACCCTTATGAAGATCCCCTCCAACCTTATTTTTTACCATTTAGGAAATACATTCCCTCTGTGGCATTGGTTGCTGGATGATGGTGAATGCTCCACTTGATCCGTCTTCTGAGCACAGCCCAGGAAGGGGAGAGGGAACAGAGAAGCTCCTCTGGGGGCAGGGGTATAAGGGAAAGAAAGTGGGAGGCTCGAAGGAGAAGGCAAGCTTTGTTGTTTCTAGAACTTTATACATAGGATTGCATTCTTTGTTCTCTCTTCGGCATAGTGCCCCATTCCTCCCTCTGACAATAGGGACCATACCTCTCCACCCTGGGCAGCCACCCCCTCTGTTTCACAGAGCTGAGGTGAAGGAGACAGCAGAGTTACCCTGAGCCATGGGGATGGGAAACTTGAACAGTTATTAATTTTTATTAGAGCCATAGTTAACACCCATCATCTATGGAAAGGATGGCATAGGTAATGATGGGGGCCAGGGAAAGGAGGCTTCCTGGGAATAAATAAACACCAGGTAATGATGTAGTCTTAATTACTATCATCCATTTTATTGGTGGTGTTGGGTGTGAGAGCTAGCAGTGAAACCGACCCACAGGAGAAACTGCCCTGAGGCCTCCCTCTTCCCATCTAACCATCCCCTCACACTAGGCCTCACTCCTACCTTATGTTGGAAGAACAAGAGACTGCAAGGGCCAGAGTCCCACCACCCATCTCTAGGCCCAGACAATGTGATTGAGATGAAAGTTGAGTTTAATTGAGGAGACACATTCCTTGTCTCCTGGGAGCAGAAGGATGTGACTGATTCCTTGGGACAGCTCAGGAGGAGCAGGGGGTTGCAGAAGAGGGAAGGAAGCCCCGATCCTCAGGAGGTGAGGGTGCCTGGGCTGACGGTGTGTGTGCGCACCTCTGGTCCTTTGGTACCTGCTGCACGGCCACCTCCTTCCTGGCTGCCTTCCAGAGTCACCTGACCTCAGCACCTACCCCCACTTGCTGGTGAAGAGCTCTCCTGGGCCCTCTTTAAGACCATCTCCACGGGGGGCTCCTGGGTGGCTCAGTGGGTTAAAGCCTCTGCCTTCGGCTCAGGTCATGATTCCAGGGTCCTGGGATCAAGCCCCGCATCTGGCTCTCTGTTCAGCAGGGAGTCTACTTCCCCTTCTCTCTCTCTGCCTGCTTCTCTGCCTACTTGTGATCTCTGTCTGTCAAATAAATAAATAAAATCTTAAAAAAAAAAAAAAAAAAAGACCATCCCCACGAGGAATGGCTCTCACACGGAGATCTGTGCTTAGGGAATCTAAGGGACAGCAGAGGTCTGCTCCTGAGAGCAGGGCTCAGCGTGGAGGGGCGTGCGGCTGAGGGGTGCCAAGTGAGTGGACTCTGTTTCTCATGGCCTTTGGTCGTGAGATGTTGACACAGTCACCCAGCTACCCTGGGTTGCTAGGCAACTCTCTGGACACACTGATGATGCCCAGGGCAGTTGACCAGGCAGGCATACATCAGGCCTCATTCCCCATGTACAGAAAGCTGGGCACTCAAGGGTAGTAGGGTCTCCCACCCCTGGAGGGAGTCCCAGGGGGAGTGACAAAATGTTTATCTTTCTACCTGGCAACAGAGTACCAACGTGTCTGGGACACTCAACCTACTTCCCCTGACAACTTCTTCCTGGCCCAGCATGAGGGTCCATTCCCCATTTGAAGAAGCAGGACAGGAATTCCCAGGACAGTGTGGCTGGGGGACCTGAGGGACATCTGCTAAGCCAAGAGCACATGAACGTGGTTTGAAGAGGTGGAACCCCAGACACAGCACCCATGAGGTTCCCCATGGTGAGGGGGTGCTCAGGGGCAAGCTTGGGGGTGCACCTGACACTAGAGGAGAGCCCGGGGCTCTGAGACTGATGGGTGAGGAGTCCTAGTCTGCAGACAGAGTTCTCCCCAAAGATCAACCTCCTCCTTTTCCAGCAAGCACCCTTCTCTGAGCCCCTTCGGCATCTCCTAGAGTCCTAAAGACTAGAGTCCTAAAGACAAGGCACAGTGCTGTGTCAGACACACTATTCCAACGGCTTTCCACATATGAATGTATCATTTTTTTAATGCATCTAGATCTCACACTAACTCTGTCAGCCAGGTATCTTGATCATCCACATTTCATCGATGATAAAAACAGAGATACAAATGGGCTCAATGACATGGTTGAGGCTGCCCTTGCCACTAAGTGGCAGGATCAAGAACTGACAGACTAAGTTTTAGTATCTACTTGACAGAGGAGAAACCCAGGGCCAGGGAAATCAGTGCACTTGCTCGAAAACTCCCACCTCAGGCAAAAGCTGGATGCAATGGAACAGAATGGAGAGGGACTGCTGAGCTTGTCTTTGGCCATGTTGGTTGGAGTTGACCTGATGGAAGGACAGACTCCAGTCTTCATGGGCCCCAAGTCTGTGATCTCCAGGAAGGAACACTTGGGCCATGAGTCAGCCCCAGGTGGTAGAGACTAGTCACACTTGATCCGCATTTGAATGTCATCATCATCATGAACTCCTGACCCCAGCACTAGCTGACTGTGGGGTGCCCACTTGCTCCTCTGAAAGAGAGCAAGGAAGAGGGGGTTCTGAAGGCTACTGCCCCCTGAAGACAGCAGGGACAGAGAACACAGCCCTGGCTCTGTTCTGAGAGAAACAGCCACCTCCAACAGTAGCCATTGGACACCTGAGAGCCAACAATGGGGTGGGACATTTTTATTTGCAGCAGTGAAGTCATGACATTGACCCCAAGTGCCCCTGGGCGTCCGCCACCAGTGGGCCCTCACAGAGTCTGGGCACAGGGAATTCTGCCCACCTCACCCCATGCCTTCTCCGCCAGCCTTGCAGCTCCGAGCTGCCTATTCCCAGCCTACAGCAGAGGGCAGCAGAAGCTTGGCTCCCAGGTCCTACCTCTGCGGACCCTCACCCCCCTCCACCCCTCAGCTCGCACTAAGACACAATGCTCCTGGGGCCTGCCTCTGTGGATTGGAGAGGTCCTGGGATCCCCAGGATGCTCTCTAGCCCTCCTCCACTCTTGGCTCTGGCCCAGTTGGCTCGGGTGCTTGCCGGGGGCCCTGGCTCGGCCAGCGTTGGGACCCACCTTACAGAGCCTACACAGCTCAAAGTCCACATCCCAAAGGCAGGGCTGAACCAGGGGGTGGTCAGAAAGCTGGGGCAGCCACGGTGAAGAAAAGCTGAAGGGCTTTTATCTGGGTGGTCTCCCATCCCCAGGTGAGCTGGATTCAAGGTCAGAGCAGGAAACTCCAGGGAGAACAGAGAGGACCCTAAGAAGAGCTCAGGGTCTGCTTTGTTATTGGTTTGGACAGAGGGGCTTTGCCCCCAGGAGATCAAGCTGGTGCCCAGAGCCTGGCACCACCATTCTCATCCTTATCAGTTACAGGGTGGGCACATGAGGGATGAGTGAGCCGAGGAGGGCAGGGACCATGTGCCTTCTCCAAGAAGGGAGCCAAGGTGATGAAGGAGAGCCTCTTTAGGCCGCCCTGCATCTGCATGTGTGCACACAGAAGTGGGAGAATTAGCAGGGTGCATGTGTGTAAACTGAGGGCATCCATCAGCGTCTGCGTGTGCATGCCGAAGGAGCATAGCGCAGGGGACTGAGCCCCGCAGTGTGGAGGCTGCGGCCTCAGGCTGCAGTACAGACGTGAGCAGGTAAACAGAGCCCCGGAGCACCAACAGGAGAGACCAGAGAGTAGGAAAGCTAAGCTGAAAAATGGGACGGGTGGTTCTGCTCCCCCATGCCCCCTCCCCTGAGGCCAGAGCCCAGAGAAAGCAGCAGATCAAGGGGGGCAGAGTCTTAGGGCGACCAATGTCCACACAGGAGAGGGCACAGGGCCGCTGAGTTGCCTGGCACATCTCCAGGTCTCCATGCTGATGACAACTATGGTGAGTGGCTCCCCTGGGCCCACCCATAGTGTGTATCCATGCTCACGGGTGGGGGTGGGGGGGGGCACGGGTGGGCGTGTCCATGAGGCCGTGTACGCAGGTTGGTTACACGTGTCTTCACATGTGCAGGCACACGTGCTGCTCACAGAGAGATTTCCCTTCAGCCTCCCGCAGCCACCCGGACCCCAGAGGCCGGGCACCCTCTAGGCACTGAGATCCACCACGATGTGTCGGTACACGAGCGTCTGTCCCTTGAAGCTGGGGGCCAGGAGCAGCTGGGCGTCGCCAGCAGGCATGTAGCAGAAGGCCCGAGGGGCCTGCACAGCCAGCTCCTGGAACCGCACAAACTTCTGGCGCCCCTCGTCCCACTGGTAGATCTGCGTGAAGGAGAAGTCACTCCCCAGCGCCAGGTAGCGGCGACCGCCCACGAGGAAGGGCTGCATGGCCAGGGAGCCCCTGGAAGGCAGGGCCTGCACTTCAGAGAAGCGGGTGCCCTCCCAGCGCAGGATCTTGGAGTCGCCGATATAGCGGCTGAGACACAGGTAGCTGTCGCGACCGGCACGGAAGTGTTTCACGGCCTGGGCGTCGGGCACCTGGGTCACCTCGCCCTGGGCCACAAACTGCTTCTGGGTGCGACTCCACTGGTAGATGACAGGCGCCTGGGAGCTGCTAGATACAATCAACCGTGGCTTGCCCTCACCGTCCACGAACTCCAGGTCAGTGTCACGGTGCCAGGCGTGCAGGGCCTGGTGGGAGTAGAAGCCGTTCTGGTGCCAGCGGTAGAGGCTGGTGGCGCCCGCCTTGGAGCTGTCGGCCACAGCAAAGTACCAGTCGCCATCAATGCGGAAAGCCTCGAGGTCGTTGGGCTTGCGCACGCGCTGTGGGTCGATGTCCTGCAGCTTGGTGAAGCGTGTGGTGTTGGGGTCCCAGTGGTAAATATAAGAGCCCCCAAACAGCTGGGCCACAACCATGTACAGCTGGCTGTCCACCACCATTGGCTTGCAGTGCACGGCAGAGGGGGCTGTGGGGAGGGAGAGAAGCAACCTCAGGCAGGGTCAGGCAGCCCCGCAGGCCCCCACCCCATGCCATGCCCTTGGAAGAGGGGGGGGTCACTCCCCTCCGACCCTGGCCCAGAACTAAGGCTCTCGGGGACAGTGGCCCTCCCACCGAACTTCACCCACTTCTCCCAGCTGATCATCTGTCTCAGCATCACTCTCCCGCCACCCCTGCCCCCAGGGTTAAAACATCAGCTGACATGGAGCACAAAACAGGTGTCCCTACGTATTGACCGAGTGTTTATCCATAATATTGATTATGGAATGTTTATTGTGTGAAGCCCCTGGGCTGAGTATGAACAACTAATCATCGGAAATGGATCCTGTTATTTTGCCCATTTAACATTGACAGGAGCAGGCTCAAAGTCTAAGTGACGCCCAAAGCTCCCTGGCTGGCCGGATGCCAGTCAGTGGAAGGAGGAAGAGACTGAGCCCGTCCACAGCCAGGTCATAGAGCCAAGGTACACACCATGACACTTTGATGTTTGGATAGTCGTGTATAAAAACACATTATCCTAAGAATTCCCACTTTTGCAAGGGCTGTTAGGTATGAGGATGTCTGCACGAACCTCCTTCTGTTCAACAACCAGATCGATCTGACCTCTTCTCAAGCACGTGAAGCACACAGGGCCGCACTCTTCACCTGCCCTGTTGCCTCTGTTTATCAACTCTCCTCCTTCGCAGCACTGCTTTACGCACCCTCCGCCTCCTCATCTCTCCCCCCAAGAAAGCCCATGCTGAACCCCAGGCCTCTGGCAGTCACCGCAAATCCCTTCGACAGCCTTGGTCCGCCTGCCCAGATATTCACGACTCCCCAGCTCTCAAGTTCAGACCGTCCATGCCCATACACCCAAGAGCACCTCAAAATCCAGCTGGCCATGACTGGGCACACATCTACCCTCAAACCTATTCCTGCTCTTCCTCCTCTATGTTCTCAATTTCCATCCGTGGCTCCACCCAGTCGCCACCTCCAGAAGCCTGGAGCCATCCCCAACACCTCCCTGTCCCTCACTCACCCACAGCCGATCAGTCCCAAGTCCTGTCAGCCCTCCCTTCTGCTTTCTAATATAGTTTGTGTAGGATTGCTGTTATTCCTTCTGTAAACATTTTCTAGAATCTACCAGGGAGACCATCTGGCCCTGGATCCTTCTTTTGGGGGAAGGGTTTCTTTTTTATAAAGACTTCAGGGACACCTGGGTGGCTCAGTGGGTTAAGCCGCTGCCTTCGGCTCAGGTCATGATCCCAGAGTCCTGGGATCGAGTCCCACATCGGGCTCCTTGTTCAGCAGGGAGCCTGCTTCTCCCTCTGCCTCTGCCTGCCACTCTATCTGCTTGTGCTCACTCTCTCTCTCTCTCTCTCTCTGACAAATAAATAAATAAAATCTTTAAAAAAAAATAAAGACTTCAGATTCTTTCAGAGATACAGGGTAATTTAAAATTTCTGTTTCCTCTTGTGTCAGTTCACTCCTCCATCCTAAATCTCTCTCTCCATCCCCCCTACTGTTGCCCCAGTCCAAACTCCTGCCTATCCCCCTAACGGTGTGCCCACATGTCTCGCCCCATGCCAAGCCACTCTCCACACGGCATACAGAGAGACTGTTCTAAAATACCAGGTGGTTTGTTTCACACAATCTGCTCAAAACCTGTCCGTGACCTGATCCTCACGTCTCTTGGGTCTCATCTGCCTCTTTCCACCTTGAACCTTATGCTGTAGTCACATGAGCTCCTTATGGTTTACACATGCACGCACTCATGCACTAAGCTGTTGCACACCTTCTTGAATTTTCTCATACTGTTCTTGCTGCCAGAATACCCTTGCCACATTTTTCTCTGCGTTAATTCTCCCTCAGCCTTCTAGACTCAGCTCAAACTCAGTGGATCCCAAACTGAGCTCACTAGCCACTCCTATCTCGTTCTTCGTTCGCTGGAACCAACCAGTTACTCAAGCCAGGCACTTGGGCATCACCTCTGACTTTCCCTCACCCTTCAAGGCTCAAGTCAGGCATCCCCTCCACCAGGAAGCCCTCCTTGATTGCCCAGGGTATGCTTCTCCTTTGTGGTCCTAGAACATCATATTCATATCTCCCTCCTCATACCCACCTATTATATGGATGTTATCTGTGTATGTATTGGCCTCTCCCCAAAGACTGGAAAGTTATTATGAGCAGAGACCATGTCTCATCTATGCCTCTACCTGTAGGTACTCAATGGAGAGGAACAATGGAGCCCAGTGCCTCTCTACCCCTTTAAATATGGACCACCAAAGCCAGCCGGGGGTAGGTACCTGGTATTCTATCATAATCTCGAAGCTGCCGTTCCACATAGTCCCACTTGAGGACAGTGCAAGCGCTGGCACCTGGCTGGGCCAGAGCCAAGTAGAGGTCGCTGGAGTAAAGGAAGGGCTCGGCTGACACCGCTGGGAAGGACAGGGTCTGGTACAGCACAAAATCTGTAGGGATGAGAGGTGAGCGGTGGGAAGAAGGCTTAGAGCTTGTTGGGGGGAAAGTGCTGCTGGACTGGGATGGTGGAGGCTGGGGGTGCTTCCGGCAGTGCCTGTGAGCGCCCCGGGGATGGGGGGAGGGGGGTACCTCCTACCAGTGGTGATGCAGTCGAACTCTCGCAGTGGCAAGTCCTGCACCTTGTGCTCCTGGAAGCGGGGCGGGCTGGCACAGTAGATGGGAGCCACGGTGGTGTTGGTGTGCGCCAGCCACTCCACAAGCCACTTGACCTTGCAGTCGCAGTTGAGCGAGTTGCCCCGCAGGTCCCTGGATCGCGAGGGTGACGGAGGGAACACAGAGAGGAGCAGGCTCCCAGTGGCTCTGCGCCCCCCACACCTTCCACCCAGAGGCTCTCTGGGCTTTTGCAAGTGGGTATAATCAAGGCTGCCGCTCGCTGCTCACATGGCATCTTTCCGCATTTTAGAGAGAAGTCCCCCTTGGGCTAGATGCACCCTCATGGACATGGGTTTGGCCAGTGGAGCCGGGGCCGAGTTTCAGTCCCTGCTGGCCTCCTGAGTGGGGTACCCTTTTCAGTGTGTAACCTGCACCACTATGTCACATCTCAGTTCCTTCAGACCTTCCACAATCCTGGGTTGTTGCTTTTTTTCTTGTGTAAATACTGACTGATGATTGTGGCTATACAATAGGACATTAATGTATGATCAAATCAAACATATGTTTTAAAAGCGCATGTTTAAGAAGCATATACATACACACTGTGTATCCAAGTAACCTTCCAGGAGGCATCCCTGAACCCAAGCCCTCCCAGGCTCTCAAGAACTTATGATCTTCCCAATTCTAGCTCGCATGCCCCTCTCTCCAGGGACGTGCCCCTCTGTGCCATTGTCGAAAGTGGTAGGGCTCAGACTTACAAGTCACTAAGGATATCCAAGGGCTGGAAGATGTCTCGAGGCAATGTCTGCAAGTTATTGTTGGCCAGCGATCTGCAAGAGAGACCCCTGGGTCACCTGACTGAGGCCAAAGACCACAGGAGATGCAAGGCTTTGGTCCCGTGTGTGTATGTCCGCGATATACTCACAGGTGTGTCAAAGACTTGAGTCCTCTGAAGGTAAACTTGGATAGTGCCCAGATGTCGTTGTTCTCAATGAAGCTGGAGACAATGAGAATTTGTTGTAGATGCCACTCAGTATCCCAGACCCCCAATCAGCTACTTCTCTCCGCCCCAGCTAGATTCCTGCCCGTGGTCCTAAGGCAGGCTTCCATTCTGATTCTGGTGACATAAATGAAGACTGTGGTGACAGGGCATCTGAAAGGGGTGGTTTAGGTAGAGGGATGGATGAAATGACCGTCTGCTTGAGTCCAGCAGTCAGAGGACTCAAGGGCTCTCCCTCCCCATTATCCCCAGCCTTCCTCATCCAAGCTGCCTTCTCAGCCCACCCAGGCTGGGGCTCCCTCCTCCTTTCTGGTTCCCATTTCCCCCACTCCTTGACACACACAGGTACTGCAGGTGTGACAGTCCTGTGAAGGCGTTGTCTCCAATCAGAGTAAACTTGTTGGAGTTGAGTAACCTGGAGAGACAGAGAGCGATTAGAGCTTCCAAGGGTGTGCCCGCTGTGCCAGCCCCCAGCCTGCCACCACACCCTGGGGCTTCCTCACAGTCCCAGGGCCCTGCTGTCCCATGTCGGGACCCCAGAGCAGCCCAGCACCAAGATCAGCCAGGAGCTTGTTCTGGGCCCACAAACTGTTTGCTTCAAGGGTAGAATCAGTCAGGGGCAGAGCTCTCCTACCAAGCTGGGTCCTTCCCCAGTGTGTCTCTCTGTCTCTGTGTCTGTGTCCGTCCTCTGTCTCCCACCCTCACCCCAGCTCACTCACTCCCTGTCAGAGTGGTGGTGAGCTTGAGGGTAGGTAACCCATGCTGAAAAGGAGCTGGGGTAACTCACAAGCACTATCTCCTGCGACTGGGGCTTCAAACAGGAACAGCCTTAGTTAAAATTCCACACCTTCCCACATCCCTCCCTTTTGACCCCCAGCTCCTTCTTCAGATCCTGGTGCCCGGGGTCAACTGTCTCTAAGATGAGACCTGTCCCCTGCAGTGTCCACCTTCTGGCACCATACCCAGCTACTGCACCCAGTTCCTTTGGTCTCCAGAGGGGGCAAGTCCATTCCTCATTGGGCCCCAAATACCCACTATTGGTTTTCACAAGCACCCCCTACCTTCCTTCTCCCCACTGCTATTCCCCGCACCCTTTCTGACTCTATGCTGCTCCACCTTTTGTGGCTTTCCTAAGCAGCAGAATTTTAAGGGACACCTGCCTCTTAACCTGCAATGGCTACCTGTATTTGTTCTCCTCTCCCCAGTCCAGGATCTGTCCCCTTCCACTGCCCCACCCCGTACCCACCCTTCCCCAAGGTCCAGCGTCCTTACAGGAACTGCAGCAGGGGCAGGTGGGAAAATGCTCCATCCTGGATCTCTGAGAAGGCGGCATTCACCAGCGTCCTGCAGGGGACACTGGAGTCAGTACTGTCGGGACTACGCAGGGACTGGGGGTAGAAGGGCACCCAAGGTGAACAGGGCACTGCTTCTCCACACTCTTACCCTGGACACTCCCCATTTCACCAGGCTGGGCCCCCTACCTGGGGCTATCTTTCTTTTCCCTTCAGAAACTCATTGCCTTCCTTCATGGCTATCCTCCCCTACGGCCTCCCTGAGCACCAGTGGCCCCAGGCTGAGCTTCCCCTTCAGCCAAAAAGAAGGTTCCATTACCCACACCTTCAAGATCGTCCAAATGCCTACCGTGTGCTAGGTGCTGTTGAGGGATGGGGCACTGGAATGGGGGGTGGGGGGGTTAGCCTCCTGTTCTCAAGGACCACACAGCCCATCTGGTCCCTGAGGCCACTTACTGCAAGGGACAGGCTGGCTGGCCCAGTCCAGAGTGGATGGAAGACCAGTGCAAGGCGGTGGTCCCGTGCCAGGGCACTGTGTGGGTGTATGTCCCTTCCACCCCTCCCCCTGCTTCCACCCTCCCTCCCCCTACAAAAAGCCTTTCTGCCCTTGGAGTGACATCACAGGCAGGGGACCACATGCTCTTGTAAACAACCCCTCCCCCCCCCACCCGTGTCCAGAGCCCTGCACACAGTAGGTCTCATTGATGCTGATGCGGGTGATGATTCATTCTTGGCCCTAAACTCCTGTTTTCCCCAGCCATGGCTGCTGAGCCTGCATGACTACAGAACTCCCCGCAGGGCTGGTGCCTTGTTTCTCCAGTCCTAAGGACCCCTGGAGTCCTCCTGCTCCCCACACTTTGTGCAGGGGGAGCAGGGGTTTTCCCCATCCACTGTCAGAAGGCTCTTGCCTTGCTCCCTCCCTCCGCTCCCCCACCTCCTGAGCCAGGGCAGGACACTCACAGAGAGATGACCTCGGAGGGCAGGTTCCTGGGCACGGCCTTAGAGTCCACGCAGAAGGCGGTGTCCCTGGTGCAGGAGCAGCTGGGCGGGCAGGGGGGCGTCTTAGGGGGCCTCTTGGCACTGACTTGCAGCATCAGGCAGAAGCCGAGCGTGGACAGCGCCAGCAGCCGGAGCCCGGAGCCCCGCCTGGCCCGCAACCCCGCCATGCTGCCTGCAAGCTCTCTCGCGGGCCACCGGCCGCAGCCCCCGCCCCGCGGCTCTCCGCCACCCAGCGCGGGCTGCCACCTCCCGGCCACGGCCGCCGGCCGCCGCTGCCGCAGCTAGGAGCCCGGCTGCCCGCTGCGGAAAGCGGACTCCTCCCGCCCTCGGGCGCCGGCTCCGTCCCCTCCCCTGCTCGTTCTCGCGAGCCGGCAAGGAGAGCTGCGCGGGCCCGGAGCGGAGCAAGGGCTGACCGGCGGGGGCGGACGCGGGCTGCGGCGGGGGCGCGCTCAGGGCGGGTGGGGGGGCGGGGGGGAGTGGCGAGGGGGGAGTCCCGTGCTGGGAGTAGCCAAAGAAAGGAGTGGTTACGGCGGTCTCCGGGGCCGCCGTATGCTTGCACGTCCGGCGCCCAGAGAGACTGTCGCGAGTGCAGGTGTGCGAGGTGTGCAAGAGCATCGTCTGCTGGCATGACTGTGCACGTGTGCGCCTCTGCCTCTGCATGGGCACTTGCAAGTAGGCGCCTATCCCCTCGTGGGAGCATTGCTGCATTGTGGATCCCCGTGCCTCTGTGTGCCTGTCTGTCGTGACCCTCAAGGGGACATAACCTCTAAACAAGAGTTCATGGGTGTGTCATAAGCCACATGTGTGTGTAGCTGTGTTCACATGTGTTTCCACGAGCCAGTGAACAGAATGTGCCTTTGTGTCTCTGGGAGCTGAAAAGGGAAATGTTTGTCACTGAGTCCGAGTGGGAGTGTGTGGAATTCTGGAACAGCTCTCCCTACCCAGCCACAGACTGTTGAAGCTGGGTAGAGCCCTGGATGTTTCCCAGGCCAGCTCTTTGTCACAAATGAGGAAACGGAGGCCCAAACCAAGAGGAAAGCAGCCCAGCTTGGTGTCACATCTGCTGTGCGTTGTGTGCCCTGCGTGCTTAATCCTTCCAACCTTTTAAGGTAGATGATATTAATCCCCTTTTACAGATAAGAGAAGTGAAGCTGGTGGTACCAGAGGAAAGGGACAGAACAGAGATTTCAACCCACTCTGCCCCAACTCCAAAGTTCAGAGTCAGACTTCTATACCAGGGCTTTCCAAAGCGTGGTCCAGGGAGTCCAGGAGAATCTTCCGGGGAGTCACTGAGGTCAAAATAATTGTCCTAAGAATGTTAAAACTTAATTTAACTTTTTTTACTTTCATACTCTCACAAAAGTACCCTGGAGTTTTCCAGAGGCTACGCCATGTATCTTCAACTAAGCCAGCAATTAAAGAGATTTTCAAGGGGTACCTGGGCGGCTCAGTCCACTGAAAAGCCAAAGACTTGATTTTGGTTCAGGTCATGATTTCAGGGTCCTGGGATGGAGCCCAGCGTGGGGCTCAGCACATAGGAGGTAGTCTGCTAGAGGATTCTCTCACTCTCCCTCTGTCCCTCCCTCCGCTCATGTTCTCTCTCTCTTTCTAAATAAATAAATCTTGAAAAAAATAAAGAGATTTGCAAAAATGTAAAACAACGGCACTCTTATCTCTAATTTTTTTTTGCTTTGTAAAATCATTTTTAAGATTTATGTTACATATGTTAAAACAGAATGGGTTTATTATTGCAATGTTTACTAATTGATTAATACTTTTAAATTTCTCAGTAAATATCAATACAGTAAATATCAATAGATATAACCCACATAAACAGAAGATCTTGGGGGTCCCCAATATTTTAAGAATGTTAAGGGGTCTGAAACCAAAATGTTTGAGAACTGCTGCTCCCCTCCGTGTTACTTCCCTGGGGATCTCTGTGTGGGACTGATTGTGCTGAAAGTTCGCACAGGATCAGGGGAGCCTGGAAGTCAGGTGAATGGGCTGCCTGTCTGGTGTTCTTTCCATAGCAGGCTAGGAAACTGAGATCTCTGGGTTTAAGATGGGTCCCCAGCTGTGCCCAGCCTCTGCCAGCAGGGACTTCTCTGGTCAGAGCTTACGTCTGCCCATGTTCTCTCAACCAGGGATGCCCTGTCCCTTTGATGCTCACTTGCCACTGCCCATCCAGCTGCCCGTGCAGCCCTCCGCATGCCAGCTTGTGGGACAACAAGCAATGGGGGTAGGGAGGGAGGCCTGGGCAGCTGGGCAGCCGTCCCCACCCGTCCCTGGCACAGCTCTGCCCAGCACACAAAGGGCGGAGTGATTCTTGTCCCAGCCACTGCAGCAGGGGAGCTGGAAGGGGGAAAAGAGGAGGTCCACATAGGAGGGGTGGCTACCATAGAGCTCTCCATCACCCACGGTTCTCCCAGAGGAATTTAGCCCAGAGACATCCAGACTTTGCCCTATTCTCAGCTAGGGAGAAGAGCTGTTTGGGGAATGAAATAGATGATGTTAATCATGACGATTGGATTGATGATGTCATTGGATCCTCACAACAGCTTGGAGAAGGGGACAGGACAGGCAGACTAGTCCCATTTCACAGCCCAACACACTAAAGGAAAGGCAGAAAAATGGATTCGTTCAGGGTCGCAGAGCTGGCTAGTTAAGCATCAAGAGCTCCGCTATTGACTCCCCTGGAGCCCCTTCATGCTTGATGACCATCTTATCCTTGCATATAATGACATGCTGGCTGTGCGCATGCTCTGTGCCCTGCAGCAGGTACAAAGAAACCTCAGGAAACCATGGTCTCAGGGCCAGTCCCCAGGGAAGATAGGGCAATGAGAAGCTCCCGCATTGCTGATGAGAACAGCAGTGAGGGCTAAGAGGCAGGCAAAAAGGCAGCAGGAGGCCCAGAGATTTGGGGGTGGGGGGGCGTGGCAGCCTGGGTCAGCAAGGTGGCAGAGCAGAGACCATTGGCCCTTCCCTGGCCTTTGGAGCTTGATGGCACTCGGAGAGGTGGAGAGGCATTGAGGGTGGGATTTCCAGGAGAGAGAAAAGGCCTAAATAAATGCCAACATGTGAGAAGTCTGCAGCAAAGCAGAGAACTGGGGTGGGGGGAGGGTGAATGGGGGGACAGCTCCCAATGCCCAGCTAAAGGTCCCTCCCTCCTCACTTCTGGAGAAAGACCTCTACTGGGTCAGTGTCAGAGGGGTAGGTGCTAGCATCTGAACTCCCCTTATGAAACTTAAGGGCAACCTTCCTTCCCCAACCTCCAAACGGGCAAAAGCAAGTGAGGGGAAAAAAACAGAAAAAGAAAAACCATAAAGCTTGTGAGAATTACAGCCTAAGGGCATCCTGCAGGGGAGATTGAGGACCTGCGAGAACAGAGGCTTCTCTCCAAGAGACTCCTTTCTCAGCCCCAGCTGATGACGGCAAGCCCTCCACGCAGTGCCTGATCAGGACAAGCCCCACAGCTGGACCCTGCGGCCCCCCGAGATGCCCGCAGGGACCCCGAGATGCTTGCAGTCCTCCTTGGCTCTCCCACTGGCCTGCTGCCCACCTGGCTCAGGCCCAGTGCATGGGAGTCAGCCAATCAATCCCAGTGTTGCTAGGACAACCCAGGGGCGGGAGAGGGGCGCTGGGGGTGGGCAGGGGTGGGCACCGCAGGCAGCTGTCTCCTACATCTGGCACCTGCACACATTTGAGAGGAAGATGCCTCCCCCTCCTCCCTGGACACCGCCCCCACACCCCCCCTCTCCCCAGCCACCAACACACACTGTTCCTAGGACACTTGCTGCTAGAGGTTTCGGCAAATATTTAAAGGAGCAGTTGGTGTGGGGTGGGGGGTGAGGAGGGTGGTGGGAGCAAACATTCCCTTCCCTCCCCTCTGTCCTTCCCTGAGCTTCTCAGGCACTCTCAGCTCAGATGTCATGCTGTTGTGCAACCTGGAGGCTGAAGGCTCTCCTGCTGGAGAGGAGGTCCTCATGGGGACGGGGTAACTCGCCAGGACTGGAGAGCTGGGGGCCAAGGTGCGAGGGAGCCCCCAGGCCAGGGACAGGAACTGGGGTGAAGTGTTGGAAGTAAAGTAGCAGGAACCAGAGGAGTGAGGGTGGGCCGCTGACTTAGACACTTAGAAAGTTCCAAAGGAAAGGACACTGTAGAAACCACCTGGCCCAGCAAGTGGAGGAGAACGCAAGAGAAGGGACGCAGCCGTGGGTCGATTTGGTTTAGTACAACAAAGCAACAGACGTGGCTTTGAGGAGGGAGGTAAAAGAGTTGGAAGGGGGAGGGAGAAGGTCCAGAAAGGGCATCACATGGAGTGAGGAGTATTCTTGGGGGAAATTTAGGGTCAAAGGGTTTAAAAAGAGGAGCCTAGAGGGATAGGGTTATAGGTGACACCAAACAGATGAGATTTAAGAATGAAGAGATTGGTGGGTACCCGGGGGGTTCAGCGGTTAAGCGTCTGCCTTCAGCTCAGGTTGTGATCCAAGGGTCCTGGGATCCAGGCCTGCATCAGGCTCCCTGCTCAGCAGGAAGCCTGCTTCTCCCTCTGCTTGTGTTCTCTCTCTCTGTGTCTGTCAAATAAATAAAATCTTAAAAAAAAAAAAAAAAAAGAATGAAGAGATTGGGACCCCATCAGTCATCACACCCAGCCCTGTGCTGGGCTGTCTGGGCACAAAAGAGAAGTGTCAAGTGTGGAATCTGCTATCAAAAGCCTTCCACTTGATCTCTGAAAATAGTTCACTGTTTTCTTGATGCAGAAAACCCACCAAAATCATTCACATCAAGAGGTTCAAATCTTCACGTTCATTTTAAGAACACTCATGAAACTGCACAGGTCATTAAGGGCATGTACATGCCCAAAGCCACCAAGTATCTGAAGGAGTCACTTTACAGAAGCAATGCGGGCCATTGCATCATCGTAACAGTGGAGCTGGTAGGTGTGCCCAGGGCCAAACGGTGGGCTGGACACAGGACCAGTGGCCTCAAAAGAGTGCTGAATTTTTGCTGCACCTGCTTAAAAATGCAGTGAGTAATGCTGAACTTGAGGGTTTAGATGTAGATGCTCTGGTCATCGAGCACATCCCGGTGAACAGAGCCCCAGATGAGCCGCTAAATTTACAGAGCTCATGGTCGGATCCTCCCCACACTGAGATGATCCTTCCCGAAACAGAGCAGAATGTTCCCAGCCCAGAAGAGGAGGTGGTACAGATGAGAAAGATAGCCCACAAGAAGACTGGAAAAACAACAACGTATGGCCTGGGGATAAATTCA